GCAAATGCCCATATCCCTTTTTCTTTTTCTAGAGCTGTTCACAAATTCGTTTTGGTTTCTGGTTTTTGGAGAGTCCCGGGATGTGGATTTCAGGCCACAGGGAGTCCTTGTCGCAACTCTGCACTCTTCCCTATTTCATTCTGTACGGGTGTCCCTGTCTGTGGGATTCTCCAAGTAAACCTGAGCGCAATGTTCAGGGTCCTTAGGAATATTCCTTAGGGGACCTAGGCATTGTTTGGAATGTTAATAAGGTGACTCTAACTTTCTTGGGGTTTTTTAGTAAGTCTAAGTCAGAGGTGAAATTATAACCCTGGTTATAGTTCTTAGGAAGGATAAATATGCAAAGAGAATGTCCTAGTTAGGGTTTCTATTGCTGTGATGAAACACCAGGACCAAAAGCCACTTGGAGGGGAAAGAAAGGGTTTACGTGACTTGTGTCAGGTTGACGTCAATAAAAGTAGCCAGCATGGCTGACCCCTTGTCCACTTGGCACACAGGCACGTCACTGTTAAGTTACAATCTTTCCCTTCTTGTTCATCCCGAAGATTGCACATCAATATAAACGTGACAATATAAAACATTTTACAAACCTAAAATGTCCCACTGTCTTTACAAAGTCCAATGTGTTAAAATTCAATCTCTTTAAAAATCCAAAATCTTGCCAGGCGGTGGTGGCTCACACCTTTAATCCCAGAACTCCGGAGACAGTGGCAGGCGAATCTCTGTGAGTTCGAGGCTAGGCTGGACCGACAGCCTCCAAAATAATACAGAGAAACTCTGTCTCGTAAAACAAAACAAAACAAAAATCCAAAATCTCTTTGAAAGTTCAAGTTTTTCAACTGTGGACTCCTGTAAAAAATAATTAATTAATCTATCAATCAATTAATTAATTAAATGCTTCCTAACTTCAAGAGGGAGGAGCCAGGGCACAATTGCAATCTGAACAAAGCAAAACCAAACTCCAAAAACTCTAAACAGCTCCACGTCCAATGTCTGGGATTCATTCACGATTTTCTAGGCTTCTCCAAGGGGCTCGGGTCACTTCTCCAACGCCACCCTCTGCAGCACACACAGATCGTTTCCTAAGGTCAGACTGGCTGTCCTCCACAGCGCCTGCCATTCTTGGTGGTCATCCCACGGTGCTGGCATTCCCAAAATCCGGGGTTCTCTCGTGGCAACTGGGATGCACCTTCACCAGTGGCGTCTCTTTCCCGGTGGTCTCTCTTCACGGTTCCAAGCCTCAGCTGCTCTCCATGACCCCTTCATGTCTTCAAAAGCAGTATCCTCTGCGAGACTCCTACATTACCAAGTCTGGCTGGAACACAGCTAGCTTCTCTGTACTCTGAGGAAACACTTCCCAGAAGACTTTACGTCAACAATGCTGGTCTCTTCTTAATCACAGCTAATTTCCCAGCCCCAGGTGACCAGCATTGATTATCTTAGCAAAGCAAAGATTTCACTTTAGTAGTTCTGGTAGCTTGCTAACCACAGCCAATTCTTCAGCCCCAGCTAACCAGAACCATAAACCACAGATTCTTACTCAAAATATGCAATGGTTCCAACAGAGTCTTTGAGTGACTTTCAAACTTCCACCTGGAACTTCACAAACCAGACCTCCACCTTTTACATTTTCTTCCTTTCCTTCCTTCCTTCCCTCCCTCCCTTTCTCCTCCACCTCATTCTCCTCCTCCTTTGTTTTGTTTTTGTTTTTGTTTTTTGAGGCAGGGGTTTTCCATGTTACCTTGGCTGTCCTGGAACTTACTTTGTAGACCAGGCTGGCCTCAAACTCCCAAGTGCTGGGATTAAAGGCGTGCGCCACTACTGCTTGGCTTGCTTTTTTTTTTTTTTTTTTGGTTTCTCTGTGGCTTTGGAGACTATCCTGGAATTAGCTCTGTAGACCATGGTGGTCTCGAACTCACAGAGATCCACTTGCCTCTGCCTCCCGAGTGCTGGGATTAAAGGCATGTGCCACCAACGCCCGGCCCGGCTTGCATTTTTTTTAATAGTCTTACCTTCCAAGTTCCCACAGAACAGCTCACCAAGAATTGAACACTCAATGGCTTTTCTGGCCCAAAGTTTCAAAGTCCTTCCACAATCCTCCCCAGAACAGCATAGTAAGGTCTGGCAAATAAATACCCCACTCCTGGTACCAACTTTTGTTCTGGTTAGGGTTACCATTTCTGTAATATAACACTATACCAAAAAACAATTTGGGCAGGAAAGTGACTTACGCTTCCACATCACTGTTCATCATTGAAGGAAGTCAGGGCAGGAACTCAAATAGGGCAGAAACCTGGAGGCAGCAGTTGATGCAGAGGCCCTGGAGAGGTGCTGTTTACTGACTTGCTCCTCATGGCTTACTAAGCCTGCTTCCTTATAGAACCCAAGACTACCATCCCACAGGTGTTATCACCCACCATAGGCTGGGCTCTCCCCCATCAATCACTAATTAAGAAAATGCCCTACAGGTTTGCCTGTAGCCTGATCTTATAGAGGCATTTTCTCAATTGAGGCTCCCTCCTTTCTGATGACTCTAACTTGTACCAAGTTGATATAAAACTAGCCAACCCATAGAACTTTATTCTCCTTGGCATCTTTCAGTCACTACAAAAATGACCTGATAATAGTTTGCGATTGTAAAATGAGGGAATATTGAAATGACTTCACTCTCAGCAGTTATTAGCTACTAGGAAGACTGGCCAAAGATGAACTTTAATGAAAAAACATATATTATATGCCTTCCATAGGTAGGCCAAATATGTTACTAGGGACAATGACAACTAGATTCTTACAGAATTTACAGTTTCATAGAGAAAGTTGGACAACTAAATATAAATTGTATCATGTAAAAGAAGCCACAAGAAAGGCCCTGAAGGGTATGTTTATATAGCATTAGAGAGCTGCCCACACCATCTGTAGGAGACATATGGGGTCATTAGATCATAGAGTCCTTCTGAGAAAAAGAGATGTCTAAGTGTGGTGGTTTGAATGAGTATGGCCCCCATAGGCTCATCTACTTGAATACCTGGTCTACAGTTAGTAGAACTGTTTGGGAAGGGTTGTGAGGTGTGGCCTTGTTGAAGGAGGCGTGTCACTGGGGACAGGCTTTGAGGTTTCAAAGGACCTGTGTCATTCCCCGCTTTCTCTTTCTCTCTCTTCTTTCTCATACCCGCACATGTATCTCATGATGTGGGCTCTCAGCCACTGTTCTACCATTATGCTTGCCTGCTGCCATGTTCCCTGATGGTCATGGACTCCAACCCTCTGGAATTAGAAGCTCCAAATCAACTCTTTTAAGCTGCCTCTGCCATGGTATCTTAGCACAGCAACTGGAAAGTAACTAAGGGCGGATGTAGATCACTAGAAAAGGCAAGCAATGGAAAATAAAGTACCGTTCCTGTAAAAGTGCAATGCTAATGTGCTTTGCACAGCCTGTGAGGTTATTTTATATTCGCTGTGTTGAGATGATTATGTCACATGTATTTAAATAGTGGGATTAGATAGTCTACAGCAATAATCAGAGCTAGAACCTTTCTTAAACCCATTCTACAGGAAGCACTTTGATAGCTCCTGTCACAGCTAACATAGGGCTGTGACCCTTGACCACACCCTCCAAATCACCAAATCTAGGTACCTTTAATGACATTATTACCATACTCATTGGTTCCCCCAGAGGCTTATCCTATGTAAGTAATTGTATTAACCAGGGTTCTCCAGAGGAAGAAAACTTACAGAGTGAATCTCTGTCTGTGTGTGTGTCTGTCTGCCTGTATGTTAGTCTATATTTATTTATTTATAAAGGAGATTTATTTTTTATTTATTTATTTTTATTTTTTTTTTTGGTTTTTCGAGACAGGGTTTCTCTGTGGCTTTGGAGGCTGTCCTGGAACTCACTCTGTAGACCAGGCTGGCCTTGAACTCACAGAGATCCGCCTGCCTCTGCCTCCCGAGTGCTGGGATTAAAGGCATGCGCCACCAACGCCCGGCTATAAAGGAGATTTATTAAAATGACTTACAGGCTGTGGTCCAGCCAGTCCAACAATGACTATCAATGGAAAGTCCAAGATTCCTGTGGTTGCTCAGTCCACAAAGCTGGGTGTCTCATAAAGTGTTCAACATGGATCAAAATTCTGAAGAAACGGCTCTGATACCAATGAAGGCACGGATGTGTTAGAGAGAAAGAGAGAGAAAGAGAGAGAGAGAGAGAGAGAGAGAGAGAGAGAGAGAGAGAGAGAGAGAGAGAGAGAGAGAGAGAGGAGAGAGGAGAGAGGAGAGAGGAGAGAGGAGAGAGGAGAGAGGAGAGAGGAGAGAGGAGAGAGGAGAGAGGAGAGAGGGCAGGCAAAGAGCAAACGCTTCCTTCGTCCATGTCCTTTATATACGGTTTCCCTCAGGAAGATGTGACCCAGATTAGAGGTGGATTTTCACACCTCAAAAACTTTGGATAAAATGTGCATCATCCCATTTTAATCCAGAAGATCTGGATTAAAAGTGGATCTTCCCGCCCGGTGGTGGTGGCGGCGGTGCACGCCTTTAATCCCAGCCCTCGGGAGGCAGAGGCAGGCGGATCTCTGTGAGTTCAAGGCCGGGCTGGACCGACAGCCTCCAAAAACAATACAGAGAACCCTGTCTCGTAAAAACAAAAAAAAATGGATCTTCCCATTTCAAAATGAGTTAATTAAGAAAAAAACATTCCTGAAAATATACCCAGTCAAAAAAAAAAAAAAAAAAAAAAAAAAGAAAATATACCCAGTCACTTGGGTTTTGGTTAATTTCATATGTAGCCAAGTTGACAACCAAGAATAGTCATCTCAGTAGTTATTTTGACTTTGATGGGATGGCACCATGAAGTTAAGTGTACCTTAAAATATTTCTTCTTTAGGCCACTTCCTTTTTGACTTAACATATGTCATAACCATGGTTGGTAGGAACATCATCCTCAGATGCATACTCTTACAGCTGGGATGCTCAGGCTTTTTACTAAGCAAAAATGATACCATACGAACTCTGTTCTTCTAATTTATAGTTTGAGCTCCTGCTGATTTGACTGTAAAGCCACGAATTACCCAGAAGAAAAGCCAGCATCTGCTTACAACCTAGTCTGCTGGCTGTAATTTTCTTCCGAGTCCATGTCCTTTTCTTGCTGGCTTTGCAACATCACGTCCACTTGCGTGCCTGTCGTGGCTATAACTATTTTCACTCCATCAGTTCCATATTTCTAGAGAACCCTGACTGATACAGTGCTCCTCCTGGCTACCCACTAGGTTGAAGAAGTCTGATAGTTGCATAGCTTATGCTGTCCCACACATGATCTTGCTGGCCACCTCGTCCAAAGTCTTCTGATTTCTGATGTGCACCATCCAGATGCCAAAGCAGTCCTGGGCTGAACAAGGAAGAAAGAGGACCATGCTTTACCTATTTCTGAGTTACAACCCCCTACCCCCACTCCCACCCCCACCCCCGCCCCAGCTCAGAGTGCCCTGGCTCTGTCTCCAGTCCAGTCACAAAACTTCTCTTCAACCTCTCACTTCAATCTCTAGTCCCTAGAAGCAACTCTGCTTTCCCTTCTTTCCCTTCCAGTGTATTCTGCTTCCATTTTTGATTGCTCCTATGTGTGGGTCCCCTGCAAGTGCCATGGATGTCAGCAAAAATAATCCGCAAAGAGGCAAGAAGGAAAGATTGGTTCAGGTTGACTTAGTCAGCCAGACTGGACCAAACTTCTGGAGTCTGATGTCAGACAGTTTATTGCCAGCATATTTAAAAACAGTACAATTTGGGAAAGAGTTTCCTTATGTAATATAATCCCTGGTGCATAAGGAGACTTAATTGCATTTAAACTAGACTCAAGTACATGCCATTTCTTCCAAAAAAGATGGGTTCTAGAGATAGGGCATATGCATTAGATTAAGGGCCTTGGGAAGGACCTGGCATAGTCTCAGTCATACAAATAGTGTAGAGGTCACTTGGCCTCTTAGATACCTCTGGCCCTGGTTGTGGGAGCTTGATATGGCCTGGCCCTTAAGATAACTCAGATCACCAGGCTATTAGTCACCTCCAAGTCCCAGTTTTCTGGGTGGAAGAACAGGTTATACATCTTTTCTTTTGAAAAGATAACCCTGTACACTTAACTTCTGTTTCCCTGGTGAGTTGTGGGCTTAAGGACCTTTGTGTTTCCCAACATCTCCCCACCAAAAGACACCCCAAAATATCCAACACAATAACTCAGAGATAAAGCATGGGCCCAGGGAGCACTGAGAAATGTGACCACATCAGCACAACTAACCCCTGTCATTTAGTTTTAAAAGGCATGAGATGCCTGTACGCTATAGACTAGTCAGTGTCAATATATGACATAGTCAGCTGTCTGTGAGGCTTGCATCCAGCCAATCATTGACAGTAAGTGGAAAAGCAATTGCTCAGTACTAAGTAAAGACTATTTTCCTTGTCCTTATTCGTTAAACAACATGGTGTAGCAACAATTTACATAAATTTCTATTGTACTAAGCATGGTGAGAACCTTGACTAATCCAGAGGTGTTTTGATGCTTATTGATTGATGTAGGCTATAAGTAAAGACATCTCTTAGTATACATGGAGAATTGGTTTCAAGGTTTATTCACCTCGCATTACAAAACCCAAGATCCCAATATTATAAGGTATGGTATATGCATATAACCTAACCCTGGCTTGCTATATTCCTATTAAAATGTAGATGCAACGCTGATAGTTGTATTATTTAGAAAATAGCGATGAGAAAAGATTATATATGTTCAGCATAGACAGTCTTGTTTTTTCAATTATTTAGATCCAAGGTTGGTTGAATCCATCGAGACAGAGGGCCATCTGTACTTTGCCATTTCATATAAGGGTTTTGAGCATCCATGGATTTGGGTATCCTTGAGAAGTTCTAGAACACACTTCCTGTGGGCATGGAGGGGTGACTGACAGACTGTCCCTGAAGGAAGAGATGCTGAGTAGGCTCATATGAACCAGGTAGGAAATAGAAAAGACAGAAGGTGAGCACTTTTGAAGGGTTTTTAAGACTATAATTACTGCGAGAGGGGGTGGATAAAGGGCGGGGAGACACTTGTGAAGGTCAGAGGATGACCTCGGGAGCTGACATCTCAGGGTTCTGGCAATCAAACTAGGGCTTTTTGTGGCAAGTGTTTTACCCGCTGAGTCATTCTCTCCCCGAATTCCTCTTTAAAGATGATTTTTACATGTAATCACCTATTTATTTAGTGTGTGCTTGTGCTGAGTGTGCACGTATGCACACAGCACACATTTGGAGTTCTCCCTTTTATCACTTGGGTCCTGAGGGCTGAATGAAGGTCATCAAGTTCTGAGGCAAGTGCCTGTCTGTGCCCACTGAGCCACCTCTCTAGTCCCTCAAGAGAGCCTTGACATGGGTTGTGTGGACGACAAACTTTTGCTGTGTACTTTTGACTTCCTAAAATCTTTCATAAGATAATATTACCAACAGACCTTTAAAATAACTGTTACAAGGTTATGAACCTCAGCAAATAATAACTACACTTCCACTAGAAAGCTAGATATAAGTTAGGAACAGAAACTTAGCAAGAGAAGAAATGAAAGCTAGAAAGTTACTAAAAGAGAGGATCAAAAAAGTTCATGTGGCGTGTTAGCCAATGACAGAATAAATGAAGCAGACTTTGCTCACTCTCAGCCACAGAGAACCTGCACTGCCATATTCGACCCACTCAATCACAGAGAACCGGGCACGCCATACTGAAGAGAAGATAGTTTACTCTTATGGAATATGAAGACGTGGAAATGTGTTTAGAAGAACAGTAACATTAACTCAGTGATTGCCCTTTTTTTTTCTTCCATGGTGTGTGTGGGTCTGTTTGCACATGTATGGGTGTGTATGTACGTGGATGCCACCACCTGCTTGTCTGCCTCATTCAGTGAGGCAGAGTCTCTCAATCAAACCCAAACTCCAAGATACATCTACTCTCCTCGGCAGCCTGCTGTGGGCACCCATTGTCCCGACGCTGCAATTAAAGGCGGGCAGCTGTTATGAGCCCCTGACATTTACATGGGCTCTGGGGCTGAATTCTGGTCAGCTACTCTTTCCCACAGAGCCATCTCCCTAGCCTTTTTTTTTTTTTTTTTTTTTTTTTTTAGGATAATTAGCTTGTGGGGTAGAGAATGGATTAAAGCAGACGAGATTGCTGAGTGAATCATGAAGGAGAAGGGAATCTTCCAGAAATGGCCAGTGTAGACATACCGCTAACGACCCCTTCCATCCACTGTCCTGCTTGTTACTAGAGCTTGCTGCCTGCCAACAGATGCTCATATTGTATAAGAGGGTGTCCCACAGAAGCTTCAGTCGCTCAGGTTTTATGCTGACTAGAAATGTCTTCTTAAAGGAACTCAGTCTAGCCAGTGGTGGTGCACACCTTTAATCCCAGTGTTTGGGAGGCAGAGGCAGGTGGATCTCAGTGAGTTCGAGGCCAGCCTGGTCTACGGATTGAGTTACAGGACAGCCAGGACTGTTACACAGAAAAACCCTTTCTGTAGAAAAGCAAAGCAAAGCAAAACAAAAACAAATGAGAAAAAAAAAAAAAAAGAAAAGAAAAAGGAACTCAGTCTGGAGAGACGGCCCAGTGGTCGAGAGCACTTGCTGCTCCTTCAGAGGACCCCAGGTCGGGTCCCATCACCCAGTCAGGGCTGGTGCCTCACAGGCACCTGCTACTCTAACTCCCCAGAATCCTGTGCCTCTTCCACTCTCACACAGAGACAAACAAAATAAATGTTAGAAAAAGAAATTCAAACGTAAATAAACGTAAAAGACGGGTGTGGCTGGAGAGATGGCTTAGCAGTTAGGAGCACTGGGTCCTCTCCCAAAGGCCCCAGATCTGATTGTCAGCACCCACTTGGCAGCTCACAACGATATCTGCAGTTCCAGGGGCTCTAACACCCTCTCACCAATGCACATAAAATAAATGAGTTAAGTAAATTTAAAAAAAGAATTAGTAAACACTCATTTTAAAATGTGGTCTTTCCCCCTTTTCTTTGCCCATGAAATGTAAGAAACAATTTTATCAGCCTCTTTAGAACAGCCACATCCTTTAAAAAATGATTTTTCCCTTGTTGCCTGAAAAAAAACTGAAGCTTTATTTATTTATTATTTTGGTTTTTATGAGACAGGGTTTCTCTGTATTGTTTTGGAGGCTGTCAGTCCAGCTTGGCCTCGAACTCACAGGGATATGCCTGCCTCTGCCTCCCGAGTGCTGGGATTAAAAGCGTGCTCCACCACCACCCGGCAAAATGAGGCTTTCTTAAGTTTGGAGTTTGACTTTACTCCAGGGACAATCATTTTCTGATATGTCATCTTACAGATACAGCATCTTTCCCAGAAGACGCCTTTACCTAAGTGAACAACAAAGTTTCCTTCTTTCAAAGAAATAAGTAGACAGTAATTGAGTTTACTCGCCAAGGACTTAAGCAAAATTCCATTTTCCCTGAGCACATTCTTCTTTGGACCATGCTCGCAGCGCTCACTCAGGACACGGTGAAGCAGTGATGGTTCCCCTTTCCCCAGCTACGGCTCACTGTCAGTCCAAGTGTCGGCTCTGCTCCAGTGATGAATCAGTTACTTAGAAATAATAATCAAACGCATCTGAATGAAAAAAAAAAGAAATAAAAAAGGAAAGGACATGACTGCTCCCAGGTAGATAAAAGGGAGAGCTAAGTCAGAGGCAGGGACAGGTGAGGAGAGGGAGGAGGGGAAGGGAGAGGGGAGCGAGGGGAAAGCCGGGCACAGAGGTGCAGACAGGAGAGGGCAGCTGGATTATATAGGGAAGGGCAGCTGGGGAAGGGCAGCCCAGCCCCTGGGCTGGGGAGGGTCAGGGGCCGGGAATACCGGCCAGAATGGTCCGGTAACAGACAGGGACTGAGGGATTCTGGGAGTATCTGGCAGCCAGGTCCCCTTTAATATGTCCCAGTTTGAAACCCAACAACAAACACTCTTACTGCTTTTGCATGAATGTATAGAGAGGAGCACCAGGTACAGACAACAAATATTTGGGCGACAGTTATTTAGTCTTTCTTGCTGTAAAGAATTTCTCTGAACCTTACTGACTGCAGCTGTCTTTAGCAGCGACCTTCATTTTTCACCGAAACAGAGGGAAGAACACTTGTATTGCTGAAGGTGATCAGGGAAAAGTGTGTTTCAAGAATGTGTAGCCAACAGCACCATGCGGCGATTGGGGTGGAATAAGCAGGAGGCAGGAAACTGGGGTTTCTAGACTGAGCTTCTTAGCGACTTTGCCTCTAACTGGCTCACAGAGTGTTCTCATCTGTACTCTGAGGAAATGGAGCTAATGTAATTTTGACCGTGGCTTTTTAATAATTGTTTTTCCCATCCCGGATTTCAACATCCATGTCCGTGGAAGCTTTTTGGCACTTTTGCAACAAGAGGGCGTCCAGCATGCTGCTATTAACACCAGCCAGTTAGAGAGGGGAGAAGGGCTGTGGAAATAGCAGGGGAGGGTCCTGGAGGAGGCAGGGAGCTGTAGCGTATAAAACCAGTCTGCACGAGTTTACGTGTTAGCGCTCTTCTTGATATTTCTCAAAATTTCCCACTGTTCCCTTCAGTGTTTTCTGTCATCTGACTGAACTCTTCCAGCCCCGAGCCCTTTCTTTCCCTTAGAGTGTTCAGACTGCAGTGTTCCAGCCAAGGAATTTTCAGAATTTGTGTCTGAAAGAAATGTATTGTAATGCTTGCCTACTGGAATATAATCCCAGCTAATTTGCATATGGTGGGCAAAGCCTCTGGAGCAGGGTGGGTGGGTGTCTTTGCTCAGGCAGTAGAGTCCCAGGGACAGGATCCTTACACAGTCACCCGAGCACAAGCTCCACCCTGCTGACTCCGAGTGAGGAGGCACCCTCACTTTGCTGGTATGCATGCCTCGCGCCCCGACTTCTTTTTCCTTAAAAATATGTTCTGCCTGGTGAACTTGCAGCAGTGTATTTGGGTGACGGATGCAATTATATGAGAGAATCATGCTCCTCCTCCTGCTCCTCCTCCTGCTCCTCCTCCTGCTCCTGCTCCTCCTCCTCCTCCTCCTCCTCCTCCTCCTCCTCCTCCTCCTCCCGGGGGCCATGGCTACGGGTTAAAGATTCATCTCAGGGGCCTGTGTGGAGGGATCAGGATGGGGTGGGGATTTGGGGAGCCTCTGTTTACATCATCATCAGGTCTCCATCCTGCAGCACCTGCCATGACAGTCAGCACCCCGGTCTGATCCGCCGTGGGTCGCTGTTTTCCAATCTCAGAGTCTTTCTAAGCCTGCTAGCCCCAACCCAGGCAGATGTGGAGCCTCATCTGGATGCCACAGGGGCACCGAGAAAACTCTGTGAGACAAACTTGGGCCTCATAAGCAACAGGTAGCTAGTTTTGCTTCTGCTGCTCTTGGTTGAGCTGCGGACAGGGGTGGTGGTGACAGACAGACAGACGACTGAATCACCTAGCAGGTTCCCCAAGCTCTACCCTCGGACAGAGAATGGAGAGTGTCCTGGCCTTCAGGTTCAGAGCAGAGTCAAGTGTACTAGGAACTACCAGATTATGACCCAGGGAGTGAGAGGAAGGGGAGGAACCCCAGAGTAATGTCTCAAAACAAGACTCCCTAGCGCCAATATTAGTGAACAGCTTAGTCCCCTACCGGGCATAAGACGAGCAAACTGACAAACTTGGTTTTGTCATTCTGAAGGTGTAGTCATGGTGGGATATTGTTTTCAAAAGTCTAATGCTGTGCACATTAGTATCAAAATTAGGAAACAATAATGCCGTCTTATGTTTCTATACTCCGATTTTTGTCTCTGTTTTTCTTTTCCTTTTCCTTTAGCAATACTCATTATCTTGTTCTCTTTTGTCATGTAGAAGAAATTCAGATAAACTTAATCCTAATAAATCTTACTGTCTTATAAGGTACTGAAAAGTACAGTATTGGTAAGTCTGAATTTAAAATGACCAGGAATGAGCCGCTGTAAATGGCATTTACGATTACTGGAGTGGAGAGATTTTTTTTTTATCTTTCTCTCCATTGGAATGACCATCATATAGGAGTACTTTCCTTTTCTTGAAGTGTTGAACAAATCAGTTAAGGGAAGGATAACGTCAAGAGGAAGCAGTCCTGAGGTGGTGTCCACAAGGCCACCAGAAGCTAAGTGGTAGGATGGATAGCATTGAGAAGGACACCTCTGTTGGTACACCCAAGTGTCTCAGTTCAAACAAGGGGGACTGAGGGTTGCCTGTGACTAGGATTAAAACTGGGGGATGGAAAAGGACATTTCCAGTTTGTGTGTGTGCTTGGTACGCACCGTGATCTTAAAGATGTTGGAGAGATGGCTCACTGGTAAAGTGCTTTCCTTGCCAGCATCAGGACCTGAGTTGGAGCTTCAAAATCCACAAAAAGAAAAAAGCCCAGTATGTTGTTCCGTACTTGTGATACCACTGTAGGGGAGGCAGAGACAGGCAGATCCCGGGGCTCACTGGCTGGCCAGCCAGTCTAGCTCACTTGATGAGTTTTAGGTATGTGGCAGATATAAGACAGATGAAAGACACACACACACACACACACACACACACACACACACACGCATGCACACATGCACACACACACACAGAGATAGAGGGACAGATACACATGTGCATACACACACAGAGAAAGAGAGAAACAGAAAGAAACATAGACAGATATACACAGGTGTGTGCATACACACACATTAAGAGAGAGACAGACACACACACAGAGGGTGGGAGGGAGAGTGAGAGAGGGTGGGAGGGAGGAAGGGAGAGAGAGAATTATAATAGTTAGAAGTCCCTGGAGACATGCAGAAGAAGGAGGTTTCTGTATTGTTCTTGCAAAATCCCTCTCATACAAGTGTGTAGGTTCTTCTTTTACCCTTTTAAAGATTTATTTATTACTTATATTTGTGTGTGTGTGTGAAGCTGCATAAGTTTATGTACACCACACATGTACATGTGCTCAAGGAGGCCAGAGGGTGTCAAGTCCCTTGGAACTAGAGTTTCAGGCAGTTGTGAGCTGCCTGGCGTGGGTGTACTGGGAACTAAAGCCCAGTTCCCGTCTTTCCAGCCCCAGGGTGCAGGTTCTTGGACTGCAAGCTTATCTCAGCTCCCACTGTCCTGCTTGGCCTGTACATAAAACCTCGGGTAGTGTTGCCACACCAGGCTTTAGAGAGTCTTGTTACATCTGTATCCCTGGTTGGAGAACTTGGTGTTCCTGGGCTTTGGCACTGATCTTATAGATTCCTGGTATTTTTGTTTTGTTTTGTTTAGTTTATCTATCTCAACTATCTCAGCTAGATATTTAGGTGTGAGTACCAAGCTTTAGGGTTCCTCTTGGATTATTCAGTTGTAGAACCATGGTTAGGACCAACTAGGGTGATTGCAGTCAAGAGGATCCAACAAAAATGTTAAAGTTATACTTTAATATTTGATAAAAGATACCAATACTATGCCAGTCAGTGGTGATACACACATTTAATCCCAGCACTTGGGAGGCAGAGGCTGGCCTCTGTGAGTTCAAGGCCAGCCTGGTCTGCAGAGTGAGTTCCAGGACAGCCAGGGAAACCCTGTCTTGAAAAACCCAAACCCAAACCAAACCAAATCAAAGCAAAACAGAATCAGAAAGAAAACAACAACAATGTGGGAGCTGGAGAGGTCTCAGTGGTTAAGAACACTTGCTGCTTGCCCACGGATCCAGGCTTGATTCCCATCCCATGGATCATGACAGCCTGTAATTCCAAATCCAAGGCATCTGATACCTTCTTCTGGCCTCTATGGGCATGTGGTACACATACATACATGTGAACAAATAAAATAAAATTGAAAACACTTAACGTGTGTGCCTCCAAGGAATAACACTAGAAGTTGTCCTCTGGCCCCATAAGCCTGTGCATACCTGTACACACACACACACACACACACACACACACACACACACACACACACGCACGTGCACGCACGCACGCACGCACGCATGCACACCATGCATCAGCAGATGAAAGTCAAATTCTAGCCATCTCCAGTTGGCCGCTGCTCTTCTGGTGATAACTAACATTAACAGTTGCCAACAGCGATGTGGAAGGACAGCTCAGGGTGGTTTGTCATTGTCGCCATCTCCTGCACAGCCTGTTTTTAGATTGCATCATTTTGGCCAAGCAAAGGTAAGTGCTGATCGAAACTGTCACTTGTCATTTCCAGCAGCCGGGCATCTCCTAATCTCTCTGTCTAAGGTCTTCAAGCATCGTTGTCAGGCAAGGCCGATCAAGAGTCAGACAAGGGACTCAGCCTTGGCAGCCTTCTTCTGCTCACTCCCAGGAGCAGGGCCCTCAGAACTGGCTTGGAGGATCATACCGGATGAGTTCATTTGGTTTAAGGATATAAAAATTCCTTCATGAATCTGTTTGAAACAAAAGGCTTTATGTTTGTGCGGCAGGCATTGCCTCCGGCTTCAGTGGGGTCAGAACTGGCCACGGTTTTAACACGTAACGCTGCAGTAAACATGGGCTGGGGGTTTTGAAACAGTGTTCTGGATGCTTCAAGGTCATCCCCGTGGGATTTGTAGAACTTCTTGGTGTTCTTGCTGAGATGGATTCTCACCTCCTTAATACCCTGGTTCGCATTTCCTTAAGGTTCAAATCACTTCAGAATAATAGTTTTCATATTACTGACCAGTCATGTATGAATAGCTTGTGATCTAGACATTACCATCATCAAGTAATTTTTATTATAAATTTGCCAGTGTATGACACTGAGTGAAGGAAAAGAAATAGAATAATTATTTGTCCATTGACAAAGACTAGACCTATGGACAATTTTGCAGAGACTTGCAGACCCCTATGCAAATCCCTTCATGAAACATTGGTAAAATGTTGGTGGTGAAGGCACATTACACAGACAAAGGGGCTGGAGAGTTATTGATGTTCCAAAATTTTTTAATTGCCATTTATGTATATCATCTCTAATAGCATAGTGAGAGAGCACAGAGGTTTCAAGCTATTTGTATTTATGAGTCAGTTAAATTAAAAAACTAAAATTGAGTGACTGATGTTAGGTGGCCATGTTTTAATTCCATCAAATAAACAAAATAAAAAGGTATGTATCCATTGAACCAGTGAGATGACTCAAGGAGTCAAGGTGCCTGCTGTCAGGCCTGACCACTGAGCTCTGTCCTGGAGAACCCACGCGATGGAAAAAGAGAACAAACTCTTACACGTTGTCCTCTGACCTCTACATATGTGGCCCCATACATACATACACACAGAAATAAATAATAAATGAAAAATAATTTTAAATGTATCTAACTACTTATATTATAAACTTGTGACATCTTGTGGGGACAATTGAGTAATAAGGGTGGATTCAGTTCTAAAATAGAGTGGTCTTCAAATTGACAGTTGCTACCAATTACAGAGCTCACTATAATCAAGGAACAACTAAGTCGCCTGAATGTACTATATTACAACCTTGTGAGGCAGGTATTATTGTTCCCATTTTACAGGTGAGGACATCAAGGTACAAAGAGACACTGTGTTCAAAGTTACAAAGAAATGTAAGAATTTGGATACATATCTTCAATGTTCATGGTTTTGAAAATTATACAATAACCCCCAATAGTGATTTACACATGCACGCACATGCACACACACACACACACACACACACACAGTGTCACTAAAAAATGTAGTTACTGGTTTAGTTTGTTCAAGTTGCTGTAACAAATAGGCTTAGTGACTTACTGACAGAAGTCACTTCCCACAGATCTGGAAGCTGGGAGTCCAGGACCACTCCCTGGTGCACAGTCATGGGTTCTTGTTTTATTCTCATTTGGTGGCAGGAGTAAGCGGTCTCTTTCGACCCTCTTTGAAAGGCACTAGGGCCATGCCTGAGGGCCCTGTCCTAATTGCATCATCCCCCCGCCCCCCTCCCCCAGGGGCACCATGCACAGAGGCGCACAGACAGGAGAGGCAAGAGGAGGGTAGTTCCTGAGGAAGGCCAGGGCCGGCTCGGCGCCGGTTTCAGAAGGGGACTCGAACGTTCATGTTCCACACTCTGCTCTGCGTCTAGAAACCATTTGGTTTGAAAGGCAAAGCAAGTCTTATGCTAAAGTTCTTGACCACCATTATCAGGCGTGCTGCCCGAAGTACACCCCTGAAGCAAAGAAAAAATTACAATTAACTTGGAAAGATAGCATCTGGCGGACATTGAAACTGTTGTGTGAGGAAGGCAGTGCTTATTCCCCACTGCTCATCATTCTAGAGGGTGGACCACTCCCCCACTTCCTTAAAAAGAAAGGCATGCCAGGACTCCTCCCTCTCCTGCTCCAGGGAGATGAGGACTTTCTCACTGGCACAGTGGCTTGGCTTGGTGCTTTCTGGATTTGTCTTTCAGGCTCTATCCTCAAGAGGCCCCCATATTTCCTACTGCAGAAGCCCTGCCTGTAGTGTAGGCAGAAGACAACTTGGTTTGGGGAAGGATAACAGGAAGTCTTGCTAGCCTCATATTAAAAGCCACACTACCTTCTTAGTCTGTTGGTTATAAGGTTAATATTTTGATATTTGCTTTTTTTGTCTTGCCACACCAAATCCAGTATGTTCTGTGTGACAAGTTCCACAGCTGAGGCGATAACTTCAAAAGGAGGAGGTCTCCTGGAAACGGCTGTGGAACTCTTGACCGGAGAAAAATATTGAGCCGTAGTTCTCATAGCAATCTCTGTTCTTCTATTCTTTTCTCATATTAACAAAATGTTCCTGAAAGCCTATGCTGACGTCTCAAACAAAAGATATAAATGAGAAACCGTCCCCTGAGACATGGTCACTGACCATGACCTCGTCTCCAGGAAAACCAGAGCTTTTCCAATCATTCACATAAGTAAATAGTAATAGTATTGATTAAAAAAAAACTTCCCCAACAATAAAATTTCATAAGGCTGTGCATGTGTGATCAAGAGTGGTTTTAATGTTTGGTAAAGAAAGCTTTTTAGTAAGAAAGCTCTTTAGTAAGAAAAAGTCAAAATAGCTTAATATTTCAGACTCACAAAAACTAGGTAACAGCTATCAAACAATTGTGAACTAGATAACAGACGTCAAACAATAACTGACCATAAAAATTTATTAACCTGATCTTAGAAATAGGCAGGTAGCTGTGGTTAGCCATGAATGATTTTCTGATCTATTGTTGGTAAGTTGTGTGTTTGTGCCTAGTAACGATTATGTCATTTGGGCATTGCTTCACTGAACACAACCCCTGAGATGGTATTTGTTTTCATTATAAAAAACCTTGCTTGAGAACTGCAAAATACACTCAGATTCAAACTGCCTCTGGGTTTGTTTCTGTTTCTCACTGCCAAATCCTTACCCACCTAGTCCCACCTAGTCTTCGAGAACCCTCATCCCAGGGACCCCCATACCTGGCTGGGGTGGTTCGTGGCACTGTCTTCTCTCTCTCTTGTTTTTTTTTTTTTCCCTCCTAATTTGTTGCAAACTTGGGAATGCAGGAAATGAGCTATTATTTACTTAATTTCTCAACCCCAAAGCTATGTGCCTTCATACATTTGTTAGATGGAGTTTAGAAGGAACCTTTAAAAGTCACCTGGAACCTCATCTAATTTTCAAACTTTTACCAATAATCTCCCTTAAGAGTTTTCCCAGCTCTTACTTTGGATTGACATGGAAATTCAGTCCTGTTGCATGAATTATCTCATTTCTTTCTTTTTTTTTCTTTCTTTCTTTTTTTTTTTTTTTTCGAGACAGGGTTTCTCTGTGGCTTTGGAGGCTGTCCTGGAACTCGCTCTGTAGACCAGGCTGGTCTCGAACTCACAGAGATCCACCTGCCTCTGCCTCCCGAGTGCTGGGATTAAAGGCGCGCGCCACCAACGCCCGGCCCTCATTTCTTTCTTAATAGCAGCCCTATAAGTGAGGTCTTATTTGTTTATTTTTCTTGAAACAGGGTCTCACTATGTAGCCCCAGCTGACTTGGACCTTGAAGTATCCCAGGTTGGCCTTGAACTCACAGAGATCTGTGTCCTTCTGCCTCCTGAATTCAGAGATTAAAGGTATGTGCCAGTATGCCTGGGTGATGTGTTCTATTTACATCACTTATTAATTAGAAACTTGGCAGTTTGGAAAGTTTAAACGATCTGCCTGAAACTACAGAATGATTTGATAGCTCCACTGCGGAGTGAGCAAGACAGACCCAGTTCCGTCCCTGGATGGAGAGGAGAGAGATTATACAAACAAATAAGTAATTGATGGTGGCTGTGAAGAGCACTCTGATCAGCGCAAAGAAGATGCGTGGGCTCCAGTTTTAAGTCAAGGCAAGTGGTCTTCCATGATGAAGTGACACAGCTCCCTGGAATCGCACAGAATGTGGGAGCTGGCAAGTTGAAGGGATGCGTGAGGGGGATGAGAGAGGAAGGATGAGGGACAGCCACGTTCCAGGAAGAGGGTCACAGCTGCTGGGAGGGTTGGGAGCGAAGCCCGGCAGCCTGTGGAAGTGAAACACCAGCAGGCAGTCTTCAAGAGCGGTGAGAGGGGACAGTGTTAGCGGAGGCAGGAGAGCCTGGCTGGGTTGTGCCAAAGGCAGGGTGGGCTATGCTACAGAGTTTTGGATCTGGTCTTAGGAGCATTATTGCAAGGTCACTGACAGGCTTAATGAAGAAATGACAATTGTGTCCCCTTGGCTCTGAAATCCACCTCCCCTCTGAGCTTTGGTTTCTGAATGTAATACAGAAAACTTCTATTAAGGGGCGTAGTGGTGAATGCCTTTAGTCTCAGCACTCGGGAGGTAAAGACAAGCAGATCTCTGTGAGTTCAAGGCCAGACTGGTTGACACAGTGAGGACCAGGACAGTCAGGGCTACTCTTGAAAAACAAAAAGGTGGTAATCTCTCTTCAGCACCTTGTAGCTTTTAATGAGCCACTAACCTCCATTTAATAAGGAGGGTGGTGTGTGGAGAACACTCAATATTTCTCAGTCTTGGCTGCATCTTAGAACCAACTGGAAAACTGAAACGAGGATGCAGTGCCACACTCCACCAATTAAATTAGGATTGTCAGGAGTGGAGTGGGAGCCAAGCATTCTTATCTTTTAGACACAGCGGCCTCCGCAATTCAATTTAACAAGCATTTATTGAACTCTGCTGATGCTGAGTCTGGGCACCGTGTTAGAGTCTGCACATGAAAGGTAAGTGTGAACAGCTGTCAGCAGCTAGTAACTATTGAGGTGTTGTGACTGCTGCAGATGCTAGGCAAGACAAGTGAGGCACAGGCAGCTCCAGGAACCGGTGGGCAAGGGAAGGGACCCTGAAGTGGAAAGCAATGAAAACAGTAAATCGTCTGTTTGCATATCTGTAGGTCTCACCTGGGCTATTCACTAAGTCACTTTCTGACGGAAAGCCCAGGAATCATGTAAGTCAAGAATTGTGGATATTGGAGAGCTATGATTCCTCTGGGGTCCCACATCTGTGTATTCAAGTGATTCCTTGTGTGTGTTGTTGTTGTTGTTGCGTCTATGTTATGGAGTATGTGTGTGTGTGTGTGTGTTGTTGTTGCGTCTGTGTTATGGAGTATGTGTGTGTGTGTATGTGTGTTGTTGCGTCTGTGTTATGGAGTATGTGTGTGTGTGTGTGTTGTTGTTGCGTCTGTGTTATGGAGTATGTGTGTGTGTGTGTTGTTGTTGTTGTTGCGTCTGTGTTATGGAGTATGTGTGTGTGTGTGTGTGTGTGTGTGTGTGTGTTGTTGCGTCTGTGTTATGGAGTATGTGTGTGTGTGTGTTGTTGTTGTTGTTGCGTCTATGTTATGGAGTATGTGTGTGTGTGTGTGTTGTTGTTGCGTCTGTGTTATGGAGTATGTGTGTGTGTGTGTGTGTGTTGTTGTTGCGTCTGTGTTATGGAGTATGTGTGGAGGTCTCAGGCATTGGTCCTTGCCTTCTACACTGCTCAGACACTGTCTCTTGTTTGATGTAGAATTTGCCAGGCTAACCAACCCCCTAACTCCTGTCTCTCTCCCATCTCACCATAGAAGTGCTGGGATTATGGACATGTGCTACCACCTCCCACTTTACATGGGTTCTGGGGTTCAAACTCAGCTTCTCACACTTGTGCAATGAGTCCTTAATCCACTGAGTCATCTTTCCAGACCTTCAACTGATCCTTCTTCTTCTTCTCCTTCTTCTTCTTCTCTTCTTCTTCTTCTTCTTCTTCTTCTTCTTCTTCTTCTTCTTCTTCTTCTTCTTCTTCCTCCTCCTCTTCTTCTTCTTCCTCCTCCATTTCTACTTAATTGTACAAGATAACACAAGAGAAAATAAGCTGTTAGCATAGAGAATCTTAAGGAACAGGGAGAGGAGAAATCTATAAGACTATACAGGGCAATGTGGGCAATGTGCTGAACTTGTTAGAACTCCACCTGCTAGGCCTCTGATGGGGCAATCTTTTCCAGTGCAATCTAGGCAAGTGTAATTGGTATACATAAATGCTTTTAAATTCATGAATCAATTTAATGTGTATGAGTGTTTTGTCTTCATTTATTTTTGTGTACCAGCAGAAGAAGGTGTTGATTCTCCTGGGATTGGAGTTATAGGTGGTTGTAAGCCACTCTGTGGGTGCTGGGAATTGAACCCAGGTCCTCTGGAAGAACAGCCAGTGCTCTTAACCTCTGAGCCATTGCTCCAGATCCCCTTCAAATGATTCTTGGACCCATGTTTGTAACTAGCTGGTGTCCTATGCAGGTGGGTTACAAAAAATATTCACATTTCTTGAACTCAATTTGCCTACAATTTATTGAATCAGTATAAAGGTGCCTTCTCGATACTTTAAAAGACTGATTCCCTGGGCATATAACTCAGTGGCAGAACTACTGCCTGCAATACTCAAGGCCCAATGTTCTACTCCACTACTAGGCAGAGGGAAAGGCTGATTGGGATATAAAAGCAAATATTCAAGTTGTTTGTGGGAAAGGGAAATCCATCGATGGGTCAGGGAAAATTCTGTCTCTTCAACCATGAAATCGTAACCTTCATGGCTGCCTATTTAGGCTAGTGATTTAAAAACATTGTAATGAGCAGCAATGCTTGTTTTCATTTTTTCTGCAGGTTTTTTTTTTTTTATGAGACAGGGTTTCTCTGTATTGTTTTTGAGGCTGTCGGTCCAGCCTGGCCTCGAACTCACAGAGATCCGCCTGCCTCTGCTTCCCGAGTGCTGGGATTAAAGGCGTGCGCCACCACCTCCTGGCTCTGCAGGTTTTCTGTTATTTTGTTAGACACAAAAAAGTATGCTCAACAAATGCTACTGATTATGATTGAGTTGATTATCAAAGCTAGAAAGGATACATCGTTTCTGGGCAAAGCTCTTGTAAAAAGACATTTTAGTCAAGTTTTGCAAGATATAAAAGCCTAAAGAACAAAGTTTTTTTTGGAAAGCTTTTGGGGGTGATCTAAGTTTGTGGCAACCCTTAGGTGCTTGAAATTCTAAGATTTCATCCAGAGTGTGATAAATAGTTGCCTATGATCAATAAATACTCACAATTTCCATTGAAGTGATTAAGCACTTCCACACAGTGGTACAAGGAACTAGGGAGAGAATAACAGATTCTCTGTTAGTTCAGAGAACCTTAAGTGATAGAGAGAAGAAAAATCCAGAAGACCATCTGGTGTGATGTGCAGAAGTTGTTAGAAATGCTCCTGCCAAATCCAAGACCCAGACGTAAATCCACACATCTTATGAACACATGGTTTTTGACAAAGAAGCTGAAATTATACAATGGGGGAAAAGCCCCTTCAACAAATGGTGCTGGCATAACTGGATATTGGCATGCAGAAAAATGCAAATAGACACATATCCATCACCCTGCACAAAACTCAATCCAAATGGATCAAAAGCCTCAACATAAAACCAGATACGCGAGCTGGGTGGTGGTGGCGCACGCCTTTAATCCCAGCACTCGGGAGGTAGAGGCAGGCGGATCTCTGTGAGTTCGAGGCCGGGCTGGACCGATAGCCTCCAAAACAATACAGAGAAACCCTGTCTCGTAAAAACAAAAACAAAAACAAAAAAACAAAACAAAACAACAACAACAACAACAAAAAACAACCAGACACGCTGAACCTGATAGAAGAGAAAGTGGAGAATAGCTTTGAACTGTGCGTGGGCACAGGAGACAGCTTCCTGAACAGGACACCAGTAGCACAGGCACTAAGATCGACAATTAATAAATGGGACTTCGTGAAACTGAAAAGCTTCTGTAAGTCAAAGGACAACATCAATAGGACAAAACGGCAGCCTACAGAATGGGAAAAGATCTTCACCAACCCCACATCTGACAGAGGGCTAATATTCAAAATATATAAAGAACTCAAGAAACCAGACATCAACAAACCAAATAATCCAATTAAAAAATGGGGTACAGATCTAAATAGAAAATTCTCAACAGAGGAATCTCAAATGGCCGAGAAATACTTAAAGAAATGCTACCAGGGAAACGTGAATTGAAAAGATACTGAGATACCATCTTATACCTGCCAGAATGGCTAAGATCAAAAACACAATGACAGCTCATCCTGGAGAGGATGTGGAGCAAGGGGAGCACTCATCCACTGCTGGTGGGAGTGCAAATGTGTACAGCCACTTAGGAAATCAATTTGGCAGTTTCTCAGAAAATTGGGAATCGATTTACCTCAAAACCCAGCTATACCACTCCTGGGCATATATCCAAAGGACACTCCATCATACCACAAAAGCACTTGCTCAATTATGTTTATAGCAGCTTTATTTGTAATAGCCAGAAACTGGAAACAGCCTAGATGTCTCTCAACCAAAGAATGGGTAAAGAAATTGTGATACATTTATACAATGGAGTATTACTCGGCACTTAAAAACAATGACATCAAGGAATTTGCAGGCAAATGGATAGAACTAGAAAAAAAAAACTAAGTGAAGTAACCCAGACTCAGAAAGAAAAGCATGGTATGTACTCACTTATAAGTGGATTTTAGCTGTAAAGTATAAGATAATCATGCTACAAACCACAGACCCAGAGAAGCTAAGTAACAACTAGGACCAAAGGGGGGATGTATGTGTCTCCCTGGGAAGATATAATAGAACGGAGGTTAAGGATGGGTTAACAATCAAGTCTGAGCTAGCTGATAAGAAACCAAGCAGACAGCCAACAGCTTCATAATTAATATAATGTCTCATGTGTTATTTGGGCGCTGAAAGTGACAACTGGACCCAAGCGACAGGCAGGAAGAATACACGTTACAAAAACCCACAGAATCAACTAGCAAGGGCTTGTGGGGGTCCACAGAGACTGAACTGACAACCAGGGAGCCTCCATGGGACTGACCTAGGCGCCGTGTATACATGTTACAGTTGTGCAACTTGATCTTGCGGGACTCCTAAGAGTGGAAGTAGGGGCTGTCTCTGACTCTTTTCCCAGCTTTTGGAACCCTTTTCCTTATACAGAGCTGCCTCTTCCAGACTTCAACATGATATGCCACGCTTGGTTGGTATCCATGGGAGGCCTGCCCTTCTCTGAGACAGAGGAGGAGAAAAGGCAGAGGGGAGGTGGGAAGGGACCGGGTGGAGAGGAAGGAGGGGAAACAGTGATTGGGTTGTAGAAAAAAGATTCAAAAGAAAAGAAATGTACCTGCCACACCTCTTACGGGGAAGTGTGAGCAAGTGGGTTTGGCAAATACGATTACAATAAACACTTCCTAGGAGTCTGATGCCTACTGTAGTTCAGACTAATTATCATGTCTGCAGTAGCTCATTTTGTGTTGCTGTAACGAAATACCTGAAGCCTGATACTGAAGAGAACTGTTCAGCTCACAGCCCTTCAGGGTTAGGGTCTTGATTGGGTGATGATGTTTTTCTTGATACGAGGTGGCAGAAGCATCACAGAGAGGAGAGACAGGCAGGATGTGTGTGTGTGGGGGTGTGTGTGTGTGCGCGCGCGCACGCACGTGTGTGTTCTGTCTTTCAACCTCTTCTGGGGAAATCTCAGTAGTGGTGGCGGCAGGACACTACCCTGATGGCCTCATCTAATCAAGCCATTTCCCAAGGGCCCCACCTCCAAAGGCCACAGTTACCTTGAGGGTTTTGCCTTTTTAACTTTGCAATGGAGTTCAAATTTCAAGACACGCAGTGTTAGGCGACATGATGACTGTGCATCTAATCAGTCGCAAGTCCTGGTGTGTGGAAAGGACACTCTGACCTAAGGACTTGAGGGGAGCTTTTCAAAGTTTTGTGGCTCGTTAATACCAAACATGCTTCCCATGATACTACACAGACTTCAACTTTCTCCCGACATTACTGCAGTCTCAATCTCATCAAGCCAGCCTGGGCTTATAAATACTTAAAGCACATTTGTTTTTGGTGATGGATATGAAAAGTTATGTCAGAGTAGACATGTAGGTCTGATAAATAGCAGCAGTTAGGAGGAATAATTTTAAATGCCTCAAACAACTGTTTCAATTTTCTTTTTATAAGAAAGGAATGCACTAATATGATACCCTGGAGTTTGGAATTTAAATCAAATTGAATGATTATTTACTTTATTAAAAAATCACAGTGCAGGCCGGGCGTTGGTGGCGCACGCCTTTAATCCCAGCACTCGGGAGGCAGAGGCTGGCGGATCTCTGTGAGCTCGAGGCCAGCCTGGTCTACAGAGTGAGTTCCAGGACAGCCTCCAAAACAATACAGACAAACCCTGTCTCGAAAAAAAAAAATCACAGTGCAGTCTTTTTTGTTCTATTATGACTTTAGGATGAAATATACCTACTAGTAGAGTCATAGCTATATTATTGTTATTCATGGAGACCGCACTTAAATTTTTCCTTGCTATATAATAGTATGGTTTAGATACCTATAAAATGTATTTTATTTATGTATATGAGAGTTTTGCCTGCATGTATGTCTGTGCACCATGTGAATGCGGGTGCCCTGGGGGGCTGTAAGAGGGCTTTGTGTGCCCTGGGAATCAAACCCAGGTCCTCTGGAAGAGCAGCAAGTGCTCTTAACCACTGAGCCGTCTCTCCAGCCCCCAAGCATAGGGATCTTTTCCTCTATGTCCTTTTAAAACTTCACGATGTTTTTTCCTTCCACCTTAATTTTAAGAATGATCAACGTTGGTCGGGTGTTGGTGGTGTGCGCCTTTAATCCCAGCAGCAGGCAGATCTCTGTGAGTTCGAGGCCAGCCTGGTCTGCAG